AAAAGTAGGGAAGTGGTGGTGCTACTCTATACCGTTCCAGTGCATGTCCACAGTGGAAGCAGCTTTTGTATCTGTAGAATAAGGCTATTTTAAAGTTCAAAAAAGGGCATTAAACTGTGAGTCTCAGGATCGGACATGGAGAGAGGGAGGGTGCTTAGTATGCAGTTGGGGAAAGGATTCATGAGAGAGCTTGGAATAAGGAGGACTCGTGCTGAGTTATTCAAATTAGTTGCAAATGATGAAAACAAGACATAATACAAATTGAACAAGGACAGAATGAAGAGATGGCCACACAAGTCATAACAGGCAGAGCAACAAACCAGCATGGAAGGAAGGTGGTGAATTTCTCATGGGTTCTCACCAGTCTGGAAAGTCGCTCTGTACTCCCAAAAGGCCATACCCACCCCTCTTGCAGAATCAACGCACTGGATGGGTTATACGTTGAATTATGTTATCATTTTGGCCATTGGGTGTAGAACAATGCTGTATTTTGCTTTATAGAAATATCACCCTGCCTGGGGGAACATCAGGGTCATAGGGTTTACCCAGCCCTGGAGGAGACATTGTCAGCCTTACTGATAGCACAGCTAGTTATTTCCTATACTCTCCATGCAGGGAGCCTGCCACAAGCATGAGGGGACACAGCTGTAGTGTGCAGAGTTCTTTTAATCCCAGACTCTAAAGGGAGACCAGGCAGCAAGCTACCAACTTGCAGCTGCAGCCACCAGGGCTTCCATTTCAACTGCACCAAGTGGAGCTCTAGCACAAGTGCCCAGTGGATGGAAAGGAACCGAACTCCTTAGGGGTTGCAAAGTTCCTGCTGGTTTATAAAGAGAGAAGAAATAACTAGCTATTTAAGCATAGAATCCTAGAAATATTGGAATGGAAGGAACCTCAAGATAGCATCTTGTCCAGCCCTGGGTACTGAGACCGGACTAAGAAAACCTAGGCAACCTCCCCACCACCACCAAATTCTTTGTCCAATTGTTCTTAAAACTCTATAATGATGTGATTCCATAACCTCCCTTCCTGTTCCACAACTTCATTAGCCTCAGTGTTTCCTAGTACCTAACCTAACCCTCCTTCGCTGCAGATTACTACTTGTCTCACCTTCAGTGGACATAGAGAACAACTGATCCCCATCCTCTTTAAAACGGCTCTTCACAAGAGCTTAGCACAGTGGTGAGCAACCTCTGGGCTCTGGCCCACAGAAGTTCAACCTGGGCCCTGTGTGCCCCTTAGTTGCCCCCTCTCACACGTGCCTTACACACTAAGGCACTGGAGCCCTGCACTTCCTACTTCCAAGCACCTGATTCACGGTGATCAAGCTCTGGGAGGAACCAGCACAGACTGCGAATCAGCGGATTCATGGTGCTGTGAGTGTGCTGGGAGGGAGGGGGGGAAGTAAGAAGTGCAGGGCTCCATTGCACAAGAGAAGTGGGGGCAGGAAGCAGAGAGGGGTGCATGGGCTGCAGGTTGCCCACCACTGGAATCATGGCCCACTAAGACAAAAAATGGCCACTTGTGGCCCACTCACTAGTCTTGGTTGCCCGTCACTGGTTTAGCAGGTACCCTTTTCTCAAGACTTAAGGGTTGATCAGCACTGTAAAATTACATATATGTAGTTTGTTTCATCGGCAGGGGAGATGACTGCCTCTGCAGGCCCCTGGGCAAGGTGGGGGAGGGCCCAGCTCCATGTTCCTGGATGGGACAGGGCCTTCGACAGAAGGGATGGAGCTGGAGACAGAGCCCTCAGTACTGCCCAGAGCATGAGACCACCCCTTTATCAGCCCTCAGAGCCTTACAGCACTCTGATGGAGATTTAAAGGGCCCAGGGCTCCTGCTGCCACAGTAGAAGCAGTTGTGAGCCTTGGGCCTCTTTGAATTGTTGGGCCTTGGGGCAACTTCCTCTCTTGTCCCCCGGAGGGCCTGTTCATAGAGGTGTGAAAATTCCACATCTCCGTGATACAGCTATCCCAGCCTGATACTTTTGTCAACCTTGCAGCCACCTCTGCTGCAGGTAAGCCACCTGTCAATGGAAGAACCCATCGGTTGCTGTAGGGGGTTTCTACACTGAAGTGCTACAGTGGAGCAGTTGCAACACCTGTAGCTGTAGCGTTTTGAGTATACATATACCCTATGCATGCCCAGTCTTTTTAACCATTCCTTATAGGTTACTTAATTTCTAACCCTTTTATCATTTTCATTGCTCTAACTCTCACCAGTTTGTCCACATCTTTCTTAAAGTGCAGAGCCCAGAACCGCCCACTGTACCCAGTGGAGACCTCACCGGGGCCAAGTAGAGTGGGACTCCCATGTCTAATGTACAACTCTCCTCAGAGAGGTAGCCATGTTAGTCCCTTGGCAAAAACTAGGAGTCCTGTGGCATTTTAAAACTCATGGATTTGTACTGTAATGTCCAGGAAGTGGACCTCTTGTGTGGATTGTTCCAGGCTGAAGTTGGTGGTGGGTAGAAATTGCTGAAATCCCAGTGGAATTCTTCAAGGGCCTCCTTCCCATGGGTTCATATGATGAAGTCATCAATATAACATTAAGTAGAGGAAAGATACTAGGAGACAGGAGCTGAGGAAACGTTCTAGGTCAGCCATAAAAATATTCACATCTCCAGACCAAATGCTATGAATGACACACTTCCACCCTGACTTAATTAGCTTCATTACCACAAGCAACTTCTTTCTTTATATATACACACACACACACCTGCTTCTGTAATTTCCCCTCCAATTTATCTGATGAAGTGGGTTTTATCCATGAAAGCTTATGCCCTAAGAAATGTTAGTCTCTAAGGTGCCACAGGACTGCTCATTTATACAGCTCTCCTGTTCGTGTGCCCTAGAATATATGCCTTTTTTGCAACTACATCAGTGTTGACTCGTATTTACTTTGTGATCCTTTCTAACCCTGGATCCTTTTTAACAGCACTGCCACCTAGTGAATTATTCCCTATTTTGTAGTGGTTAATTTCATTTTTCCTTCTGAGTGTAGTACTTCAGTGACTTTCCTCTTGTTGAGTTCAGACCAATGTGTCATGATCATTTTGAATTCTAATCATGTCTTCTAAAGTGCTTGCAACCTCACCAAGTTTGATAAGCATCCTCTCTAATCCCTTATCTGAGACATCAGTGAAAATATTTAATAGTACTAAACCCAAGCTAATTCCTGTGGGATTACTAGATACGGATCCCCCTGTTGGATAGCAAACAATTGAATTTCATCTTGTTGATTTCAGAACAATTCTCTAATTTTGTCAAGGGCTCATTCTGATTTCTAATCTTGCCCTCCAAAGTGTTTGTCCACCCCATCTTGGGGTTGCCTGAAGATTTGATAAGTATACTAGCCACTCTGTTATCCAAGTTACTAATGAAAATATTGAATAGCATCAGAGACAGGACTGACCCCAGAGGATCTCATGAGATACAGCCTCCCAGTTTGACATCAAGTCATTGATAATGACTCTTAAGTACAGCCTTTCAACTAGTTTTGCACCCACTTAGTAGGCCAGTAATCCTGTACAACAGTGGTCTCCAAACTTTTTACACCAAGATCACTTTTTAAATGACAGAACAAGCCAAGATCTACCGCCCCACTCCTTCCTCGAAGCCCCGCCCCTTCCGTTTTAGTCTCCTCCTCTCCATCACTTGCTATCCCCAACCCTTATACTGCTGCTTTTTCCCAATTCTGTAGGAATAGGTTTTTCCAACATTTGGCCCATCTAGTCAGAAAAACCCCTTCTTTTAGAAGCCCCCTTATTCCCTGTGGAAAGAGGAATATTGGGCTTACCAAAAGAGCATGTTTGCTCTTCCACTAAAACAAAGAGGAAGAACAAACACATCCCTGGATGCAGAAGAGTTTTTTCTGGGATATCTCCGAAATCCTGAAAAACTCCTGCAGTCTAGCTGTACCCTCACTGGGTTGAGACAGAATGTGTGGGCTCTGGGGTAGGAAGAAAGAGTTACTCACCTTGTGCAGTAACGGTTGTTCTTCGAGATGTGTCCCCGTGGGTGCTCCACTCTGGGTGCTGGTGCGTCCTCGCGCCGGCGACCGGAGACTTCTCTAGCTGTTTCGGCCGCGGCGCGCAGGCGCCGTGGCGCCCTCTAGTGTTGTTCGAACTGAAGGGCGCCTGCGCGCGCGCGGCTCCTCCGTTCCTTCTCTACCCACCAGAGCATCAGGCTCCAAGCAGGGGAAGGAGGGAGGGTAGTGGAGCACCCACGGGGACACATCTCGAAGAACAACCGTTACTGCACAAGGTGAGTAACTCTTTCTTCTCCTTCGAGTGGTCCCCGTGGGTGCTCCACTCTGGGTGACTACACAGCAGTTGTCGGCTCGCGGAGGTGGGTTTGGAGCCGTGTGGTAGTAACTGTAGACAGCACTGCTTGTCCAACCGCCATAGAAGATGCTATCGAGGTGGAGAGAGCATAGTGTTGTGCAAAGGAATGGTCGGATGACCAGGTAGCGGCGTTGCAAATGTCTTGTAATGGTACATTATGGAGAAAAGCGGTCGTGGCAGCCACTGCTCTAGTGGAATGAGCTGTGATAAGTCCAGGTAAATCTTTGTTATATAAAGTATAAGAGGTCTTGAT